TGATGTCTTTTTGACCTGGCTTCTGGCCCCTCAGTAGGGATCTAAGTTTTTGAGTTTTAGTTAATGTTCAGCATTCTTGGATCAGCTTGGCTGTGGAATGTATTGAGGGGACCCAAATGGAGTGTAGGGCTTGGCTTTCCACTTCTGCAGGTTTTCTTGATGCTTCAAACTACTTCCTTTCAGAATTGGGAGTATTGCTACCTGGTGGTCAGAATACTTAATTTTGTAGCTTTTCTAGTGAGGACAAAAGCCGGGGACAGGAGCATCACTGACTCTCTCTGTAGCATGTTTTCAGGTTACAGATGTGGAAATTCAACCAGCTGAATACTGAGTAGCTTTGGTGACAGTCATGTGTCCTGTGTTCAAGAATTCTCAAAACATGCTTCTTGGGAAATAAAAACTCAAGAGGAAACATTTCTCTTTAAATGACTAATATTTTGACTTCTCTTTTGAAATGAAATGCTACGGCTTCTGTCAGCAGTCCTTTCTGCCTTTCTATTCCTTTATCTTATAGGAAAGCAAAGCTATGCTTCCTGTTACACAGGGTTTTTGCCATGTTCAGGCTGGCTCTGCACTGGCTTGTCAAATTCAGGCGTGGTATTTTAGGTTGGTCACCAACAGCCTGGAAAGAAACTGCTGATTTCTCAACGTATATGCCTCTTTGATACAGCTAACTTGCCAGAGAGCTACTAAGTATGCTGGCTTTAGCCGTGGTTTTATCTAGTCTGTTTTTTGATTGGAGGAGTGAAGTCCTGTTAATACTGAATGGAAGTGATACTTGTAGAACAAAAGAAGCACCTGGTAAGTATAATGAAGATAATTGCCCCTATATAATTGCCCCTATATTGGGCTGTTGAACGCTAAGGAACTGCTAGTATCTAGAAGAATTGTGAGTAATCTTAGAGGTGAAGTTCAGCTTCCTTTCTACTATGAGGAGCCCAAGTTAGTTTTCCTTTTGTTAAAACAAGGTCTTCCTCAGAGGGCATCTAAGCTAAAAGCCATAAAATAAGGAGTATTACTGTGGAGCTTAGTGGTAGTTCTTTCCATCATCAGGTCTAGATGGGTTACTAAAGCAGACTTGGATATTGTTGAATCTTGTGCAGGCTAAAGATTAATAGCACCTCTCCTGTTTTAGAAGTTTTGAATGTGTGTTAACTGTAAAGCCATAGAAAGACATGATCTTCAACTTAAAAGTTTGATACAAGAAATTTTGATGTTTCTTGTATCACTAGAGGAATCACAAAGAACCTTTGTCACTTTGAAGTTTTGTGCTAAAGTTGCACTCAAAACCTTGAAATCTGACCTAGGAAACGACTGGTGGCACCTCTCACTTGGATCTTTGAGCTATTCTCAGCCCATGATCTTTAGCAGTAGGGCAATTGTACAGAACAAAGTCTAAAATTCATTCTTAATTATGTTTTGCTGAATAGCTGTGAGGTGATTTATTTCAGCTTCAAACTACAGCTGTGGAGCTCTGTAGAAGGAGCTCAGGTAAATGGCTACCATCTATCTTCAGTAGAAAGGTAAGGTTTGAGGCAACTAGACTTGTGTTTCTTCACAAGTTTTGGAATCTAGTCTATGAGGCAGTGGCTTAGTATTTGACCTGGCTCAGAAATGGTAGATGAGGCCGTAGTTCTTACTTGTTTTCTATTATTACTTTTCCTGTCCTGGTGAGGTAAAAATCCAGTTCTGGGATGTAAAGGGGGAGGGGAAAGCTGCTTTGTACAACACATTTGAACTGTAGAAAACACTGACAGATGTGACTGAGTGAAAACTTTCCAAGAAGACTTAAACAAATACCCTTCTTGCAGAAGGCTTACTTAAGGTGGCCTTGATAGATAAAAGGAACTGCTGGAAACTGGCCTGTGATGACAAAATGGAGGAGTATTGACTAATAGAGGAGAATTTGAACTTGGGCGGTTTTTACTGTACTCATTTTCTTCTCTCTCTTGGAAGTAACTGAAAAATGTAATGGTGTCCAAACTGCTTGGAGGCTGTCCATTTAAGGACTTGTCTTCTGAACTAGCCTTTTCTGGATATTGCTTCTTAAAGGTGGCTGTGGCTTTATCTGAAAACTAAATAGTTACATTGGGTTTTAAAACAGTTTACACCAGTGGGGAATTTTGTCCTGTGTAAGGCTTCTTAGAATGTGGGGCAAGTAAAACCAGTGTCAGCTGCATCCACCTCTAGCTGGTGAACTTGTATTCAGTTTCAGATCCTTTACAGGAAGAATGCATAAGTTAAACATTAAAATACTGGTGAAGAGAAATTCCAGGCAAACTGTTTGGTACTTTCATATACTTAAGGTATCTGAAGATGGAGCAGCGTGCTTTGTAATCATACTTCTGTGGCAGCTGTAACCTTCAAATATCTGAGTTCAGGGGAAAAGGGGGCCTCCTGAAGATAAAGGTTTTTAAACAAATTTCTCAAATAATCTTGAAGGATGGTTGTGCAGAGACTGGTTTTTGACTTTAGATTTCTTACTCGGTTTGCATAATCGTACTTTGCCAACTTGCTATATACCAGAGGAAAAGAAACTTTGGGTTTTCCTCTTGAAGGAGCAGTTAAAAAGGAAGCAACTTTGAATCAGATGTAAAACTTCTCTTTTCAGATTCCTTTGGGGCAGTGAGTAGTGATCATGGAGATCCTGACCCTGACTGGCAGGTTGACAGACTAGATACAGGCTGACAGATTAATCTTAGTATAAAAACTTTTCCACTGTGTATCTAAAGCAGGTCTAGCTCACCTATTAAATATTTGTCTTTTCCTATATGTTAACCTAACTGGTTATGTTAGGTTCTTCATCTGGGTAACTGCTTGCAGTATTCAATCCTGTCACTTCATGTTGTAGTCTCAAGTTCATGGTTTGGAATGAAATTCTGGTAGTTGTTACTATCTGTAAAGATGTATTGCAATTCTGTTACAGCTGTTGGCCTACTGTTCTGGTCTTTTTAACAGGTCTTATGTTGCTGTTCTATAATGTTTTAATCTGAAGACTTTTTTTTGAGTTGCAAGTTGAGTGAAGAATCTTGGTATATAATTCAGAGACCCAATCTTGTCCCGTTTGAAATTAAAAGCAGCACCAACTATTGTGCCTGAGCTCAGCTCCTGCAGTTGGCTTTGCCTGTGTTTTTCCTGTTCTGCAGTGTCAACATGGTTGCTATGAAAACAGGCATAAACAATAGCACACTGAGTGCCAGCTGCTGCCACCATAGTAGACAGCTCTTTACCCTCGGGCGTCCTACTAAGTAAAATCTTGAACACTGCAATGAAGCAGAGAAGACCGGGTTATGTGTAAAATCAAAGTATATCTCTTAAGTGCTCAGACAGCCAGTTGTTTTATTTTTGTTAATATCTGTTTAAGATCTGCTTACATCCTTTCATTGCAGAACTTCTGTGCTGAAGATGATTGGAGAGAGGGGAACTGTTTTGAGGGAGGAGTGGTTACAAAGCCACAGTAAATTTTTCAACATTGGAGTACTTTAAAAATAACTAAATAAAAATTTGTGTTTAGATATACACTCTCCATTTAAGAGCTAAATGTCAGGATGCTAATTCTGGTTCCTTCTTGAGGTCATGTGTTGTTCTTACTGCTTCTGTAGTGGCTTTCTTCAAGATACAACTCATGAATGTTTCTGGTAATTTGGAATGCTGGATGGTTTGGAGGGGAGGGAAGCATTCTGTAACATAAATAAACTGTAGGGTTACAGGAGGATTATCTTGATGGGGCATCAGGTAAACTGACGAAACATACCAGATAATGATTCTGCTTCTGTTGGGTTAAGAATAATGAATTGGGAGAGAGCATGTGAAGTATTTAAACTTAAGGAGACTTCATCAAAACAAAGCTTGACATGTATTTTTAAACTAGTGTACTTTAAACTTGTCTTCAAGCACACTTTAAAAAAGGCTCCAATTTAAATGTTTAACTTCCTTATTATTTTATTTCTAGTTGTAGAAGTCATGTGTAACTGTTCTACAGCTTAGGGGAGTTATGGTACTGTGACTGCGGTCTGTTTAATCTCCCCCATCCTAACCGCTGCTTCAGTGGCCTGTGGCAGACTGACTTTCCTGCTCAGTGAAACGTATACATCTATTCCCCAATACGGGCAAAAGAAGTGGTTTATACTGTCTCTGACAGGCATGCCTGTCTGATGTTTCCCTAGCATTCTAAGGATGTTTTCCAAGTTAGCCTTCTAAATATCTGGCAAGTGTCTGGTGTCTTTTAGGGAAGCCAAATGTCTCAAACATTTTCTTTCATGTAAACCTGGGAGCAAAGTATGCATCCTGAGCTATAGGTCAATATATTGAAGTTGTAATTCTTGTTTCTTGGAGTTTAACTATTTAAGTCATAGAAGAACCTAAGTCTTCAAATGTTAAGCTAATACTCTAAGGCTTTAGGTTTGATACTGCCTGTGCTTACAATTAGCTTCCAGAATGAAGCTTGATTAGTCAGTAGGAGTAGTAGCTGCCAACCAGACACTTCAAGAGAAAGTGTAGCAGCTACCAAGAAGAAATAATTTGTAGAGAGTAGTAGCTGGCTTTTGAGTTTAACTCTGAGGAATAAGGAAGAAGGTGCGTTACTGAAAGAGAACAACAGTAAGGCTGCTTAAAGGGGTCTACTTTTTTCCCCACTCCTAAGCATTTTGTAAGTTTTTGAAGCAAAGACTGGCTATAGAAACTAATTAGAGGAAAAGATATGTAGTAAACCATTTCTTTGGTTTACAGTTGGACTCGATCTTAAATGTCTTTCACAGCTTAAATGATCTGTGATTCGGCTGTTCAAAGCTGCCTTACTCCAAGCAAAGCAGAGGCAAACTTTTCTTTCATACAGTGGTTTTAATGGTCATGATCAGATATTGTACAAGAAAGTATTGAGTTAGGCAGAAGTCCTGCTTGGTTTTCATTGCCTTTGCTGGGAGGGTGGGAAACCTCTAAATCTCTTATTTTAATGTAGCCTTTGGCTGGGGGAGGGGAAGGTATTCTAAAAATGTTTTTCTTTCTCAGGCAGGTAATCTGCAGCCATGAGCAGCAATGAATGCTTCAAGTGTGGACGTACTGGCCACTGGGCTCGGGAGTGCCCTACTGGAATTGGCCGTGGTCGTGGGATGAGAAGCCGTGGTAGAGGTGATTGATCCCTGTGGTTTTCAGTACTTGTATAGTAAGATTTTTAGCTGACTGTTCCGAGTAGTGTGTAAAGCTGGCTTTGTTAGTCTGAACAAGTTAGGACGCACATTGGTAATAAATTTCGCTGGTTCTTACCCCTGCATAAGAATTTTGCCAGGGGCCTCTGAGAGTGAAGTTAACTTGTTAATTCAGCTGGCAGTGTCCTTGATTAGCTGTTCAGAATATTCTTAACTTAATCCTTAAGCCTTTTTTTCTCCTCGTACCCATTTCAAGCAGGCTTCCAGTTCATGTCTTCATCTCTCCCGGACATCTGTTACCGCTGTGGTGAGTCTGGCCATCTTGCCAAGGACTGTGATCTTCAGGAGGATGGTAAGTATCACTAAATATTCTATCTCTTCAATCACGTGGACAGAGATCTGTGGTTGAAGAGAAGGATATGGTACACTGATTATGTTTCATTGGAAACAAGCTGTACATGTCCTTAGCTAGAAGCATGCTACATCTCACTTTACCAAGGTTTTATAGTCTTGTTTGGTATGTTTTTCTTATTGTGGAAGCCTGCTATAACTGCGGTAGAGGTGGCCACATTGCGAAGGACTGCAAGGAGCCGAAGAGGGAGAGAGAGCAGTGCTGCTACAACTGTGGCAAACCTGGCCATCTGGCTCGTGACTGTGACCATGCAGATGAGCAGAAGTGCTATTCTTGTGGAGAGTTTGGGCACATTCAAAAAGACTGCACCAAAGTGAAATGCTATAGGTAAGAACTGACGAGAAAGAACTGCAAAATGTACCTTAAGTGAGATGCATTCTGTATCTAATTTTGGTTAGGAAATTAAGTTTAAACTTTGACCAGGTAGCTTGTTTCTTTAAACTGTTTACCTACTGTTGTTCAAAAATAAGACTTAAACACCTGTTAGCAAAGTCAAGTAATAAATTCATTGATGGATATCTCCAGATGGACAGAAAAATGCAGATGTTAAATCACTTAAGCTGTACAGGAGAAAGGGTCATATCTTTTTGCAGAAGGTAACAGGAAGTACTTGCTTGTAGCACAAACTTAAAGTAGGGTTGGGTACCCTGTATCTTATGCTGGAACTAACAAACTCCAGCTGTACAAATTGGCTGACTGGCACAGCCAACACCAGCAGGAATATACTTAAGTCTTGGTTATAGGAACTGCATACATAGGAACATGCAGATGTTCAATCAGCTTGAAATGCCAGCTTCAAAATGCTGTCTGGCTTTTCGAATGCAGGCCTGTACCAGAAACAGTGCGTTCGTGAATGCAGTATTCTTCACCCCCACCAAGGTTCCCTTCTGTGGAGGAAGGAGAGAGAATATGGTGCATTTCAGTTAAAACTAATTACTCTCAAAACAAGCCTAAACTGCAGACAGAAGCATAGGAGCAGGCAAAACCTCATACACAGTAAAAAACCAAAACTTCTGTATTTGATGTACTGTGGTTTTGGCATATACGGCGATCAATGTGAGTCGATCAGTTGGGGAACAGTTCCTGCCTCTGGTGAAGACAGAAACTTGCCTCATGTCAAAGAATTCTGGAACACTGAAGCAGAAGTCTTGAATGCAGAACTAGTGTTGCATGAGATTTAAGTAGATAATGTACTTGACAGACTAGGGTTGCTTTTCTGAGTAACTGTTCTGGATGACTTTGATAAAAATCATTTGCTTTTTCCAGGTGTGGTGAAACTGGCCATGTAGCCATCAACTGCAGCAAGACCAGTGAAGTCAACTGCTATCGCTGCGGCGAGTCAGGGCACCTTGCACGGGAATGCACAATTGAAGCTACAGCCTAATTATTTTCCTTTGTCGCCCCTCCTTTTTCTGATTGATGGTTGTATTATTTTTCTCTGAATCCTCTTCACTGGCCAAAGGTTGGCAGATAGAGGCTACTCCCAGGCCAGTGAGCTTTACTTGCCGTGTAAAAGGAGGAAAGGGGTGGAAAAATCAACTTTCTGCATTTAACTACAAAAAATGTTTATGTTTAGTTTGGTAGAGGTGTTATGTATAATGCTTTGTTAAAGAACCCCCTTTCCGTGCCACTGGTGAATAGGGATTGATGAGTGGGAAGAGTTGAGTCAGACCAGCAAACCCTCTCTGGATTACATGGAAGTGATCCTATGCAGGAGGAAAGAAATTCTGGAAGTGTCTAAACTTCCTCATAACTTTAATTTTATTGCAATGGCCTTGGATTGTCTGACCTCAGTAGCTGTTAACACCAAGTAATATCTGTATCAGGCCCTACCTAGAGCATATAGCTGAGTGGGAGTAAACAAACAAGATGCACATGCCTGTTAATGGCCATGAGAGAGAGAGAGAGAAATCAGGAATAAACTTAAAAGTAACAGTAATTCAGTCAATGAATGTTCATGTTGGAGATACAGAACGTAATGGGAAGCTTTTGAATAAATATTTCAAAGTAAATCTGAAACCCAGACATCAGTGCTCATAGCATATACAATTTGGAGCTATTCAGGAGTTGCAAATAAATGCATTTTCACAGAAATCAAGATGTTATTTTTGTATACTATATCACTTAGACAACTGAGTTTCATTTGCTTGTAATCAGTTTTTAAAGTAAGATGGTAAAAGCAATTGAAGTCCTAGAACATAGAAAATGTAATTTTAAACTATCAATAAAGCTGGAGGAGGAAGGGGAGTTTGGCTAAAGTTCTTTTTGTTTATTTTTGGTTTTCATGTACACAGTGCAAAGTAACATATTAAAAAGGGGTATGTGGAGGTATAAAATGTTTAGTTTGGACTTTTCTTTTGTACTGTCTTATGTTAAGTTTCCATCCGGTAGCATCAAACCGTAAATACATTAAGTATGCAGTCCTCCTTCCAGACTATTGCATATCTGCATATGTTCGTGTGAATGGATTGTGTGGTCTTGGAGTGGGCTTGTTTCATTTGTGCTGATGCAGTTAAAGCATTTCTTTAAAGAAATTGTTGAAGAAGGCACAAAAGTTGAAGGCACAGTGAGTTCCAAATCTGGAGTAGTTTAATAGTCTGTTAGCAGTACTTCAGCCTTCACAGATGTCATTACACAAAGAACTATTATTTAAACTGTCTAGTATTACAAGTACTTCCCATTCCCATATGTTGTTGTACTATGTTGATTGACTAAGGGTTAGTGAAGTTACTCTCTGTGTCAGCTCCCTTGTCATCTGTGTATCTCAAGCACATCCGCTTAGTAAGTGAGTAAAGTCATCCTGATGTGCAAGGAAAAACAAGGGCAGGAGTCCTGACTGATCAGTGTTTCACCATAAGGCACAATTGTAGAAGGCATGTCTTTCACATTGGTGTTCAAGGCAACTAACAGCAGCTTCAGCTGGAGTACCTTGTGAGCTTTTGGCTGTCTTCAGGAGCTCTAGCAGATCATATAGAATCTGTCCAGGTATGATCAGGGATAGTGTACTGTAGTCAGTTTGTGTTTGCACCTTCACACACAAACTAAAGGCTTTCCTTACTTTCAAGTCCTGAAGTGTTTTTCATAGGCTATGTATGCTATAGTGGTGAAAAAATGGCCTGTGATGTTGGGATGATTGCGTGTGGATCCCTTTAGAGAGAGGGGAGGTACCAGACTGATCATCTACAGCTATGCTAGAGTAAAACTAAATGGGCACTATTACTTGTCTTCTAGGGCTGTGTTATAATTCACCAGTTAAGTATCACATTAACATTTTCCTTTGGAAGCAAGGCTGTTAAACATGACACAGTCATGCAGTAATGCTGCTGAAGGTTGTGGTCTTCCAGGAACAACTTAAGCCTGTGGCTTTGAGCAGACTATAGCACATAGGTGAGACTTACAGAAGAGCAGTAAGAATGCCTCAGTTGATGAACAAGAAGATCCCAATGAGGAGTCTTCACAGTTTCAAACACTCCCAGGTAAAGCAGGAATATTGCCTGATAATCTTAGTGTTACTGTTTCAGGAAATCTGGTATCTAATGTGTGTGTCCAAGAAAATGTGTGATTGCCATAGCAATCTAGAGTTCCTTAACATTTCAGGAAATAAAGACTTATAAAGAACTAAAGTTTTCAGCCTGGGTTTGATGTTCAAAGCTTGTGGAAAACATTGAGCCATAGTTCAGGGAGAAAAAGAAGATTCTGGTGAGAATACTAAGTACCAGGTAGCTAGAGCCCTGATCACTTGGCTGGCAGCAGCCAACCTGAGCAGGCTTTAGACAGGCTGAGTTGGTACTGCTGCAGAGATGGAAGGAAATGGGCTGTTGAAGAAGTCTGTATTTGAAGCACTTATAGAGGGAATATTCTTGTACTGCTTTGCCTAAGCAGAAGAAAATGCTGAGTATTTGCTTCTGCCTGGTCAGTGTGATGTAAAGATGTAGAAGGCAGGTTCTACGGAGTATAAAACCAAGATGAGATGGTGACTGCTACTGCAATGGGTCATGATTTTTTGGCAGGATGCCTTTTGTCCAACCTATTTGGTGAAGAACAAAGCTTTTCAGCTCTTGTGGAACTAAGGGGTGGGGAAGAGATTCTTGCCTGAGTTGTGTGGGGTTTTTTGAGTGTGGGGTGTGTGTGTTTGGTTTTGATTTTTTTTTTCTTTTGAATAGCTGCTGTTGGAGCATGAATGTACTTTTGAGTCTTAAACATTGCTAAAACCCATGTAAAATCCACAGTTGAAATAAGTGCGTTGTCTTGGGATAGTATGGATAGCCTAATCATAGCATATTCTTGTTCAGTCTTGTGGTAGGTTAGTATGGATTAACTGAATCTTTGCGTATAATTATCTTAGTTAAACAGTAATAAAGCTTAAAGCTCTGTGATTACAAAGACCTGAAAGTCTCTGGGACTTAACCTGTAGCTAAAAAAAATGCTGTGTCAAAGACCTGCAGTACTGGTGATGTCTGTAGTCTACTTTTCCATTCCTGTAGAACTTGACGATCAAGCTTGGTTATGAAGATCCTGCAGCTACTGCCTCTTAATACTCTGGTGCTTAAATGCTTTATTATCACTGAATAATTCTTGTGTGTCTGAAAAGTAGTATTGTTCTCTGAGAATTACCTTTTTTTTTTTTTTCAACAAAGAAAATGGGATTTGAAAGCTGAGAAATTCAAACCAGTAAATTCAAAAAGGAGAAAATTACTCCAGCTGAGGTATCTCTTCCTAGTCATCTTTCTGTAGAGAACTGTTCAGAATATTGATGCTGCTGCTTCTGTTCTGAAGTTAACAAGATGCATGAGCAAATACTGATTTCAGAAACTGGGGACTTTGAAAAATCAAACCTAATATTTCATTTGTTCCATGTTAATCTTTTTCACTAACACTGAAGCATCTCCTCATTTGTTTCAAAGACCAATCCCCTGATGAACTCCAGTGTAATGGTTTTCATAGATCTGGTAGATTATATGGGTCAGGAAGGCAAAGAGATAAATGTGTAATAGATTATTTTCTACAAACAGGGCTTTCTGAAGGGCTAGCATTTTCTGGAAGGGGAATTTTTATTTTATTAAAACTATTGGGAGTCATTGAATAAATCCTCACTGAAAACCAGTCTTCCCAGTGTGGTTTTTAGACCAACTGCAAGGGTTTGATGTAATGGCTCCACTGACAATGGGATGTGCATGGCAAAATACAGGTGGCTTTGGTCAGTAGGCTATAGAGTTCTGGATGACAGGAGAATCTGTTGGTAGAGGTGGCAAGGCATATTGCGTAGGTTTCAGATGCTGTGGGAATTTATCTGTATGGATCTTCCCATTAAAGGCCATGTTGGCTGAACACAGGAGGCTGGTCTGTGTGCCAGCATTTCTAAATCCATCTCTTGTAACGCTGTTGCTATGTGGGAAGTCTTGAATGTGATGTATGAAATGCCTGCAAAAAGTACGTTTCCATTCGTTAAGTGGAGAAACTAAGTGTGTGGAAGAATACAAAAGTATTTTTTACTGCCTTATATTAGTAATTTTTTCTTTAATTTTGTGAACTGGAGGCGCTGCAGTAACACTACAGAAGATAAGTATTGGATCTCTTTTCCAGAATGGCTGGATGTTCCAAATACAGGGGAAGCAAAAATGTTGGACTAGAGCACTGTGCAGAAATACTCGGATTTAAAGAGAAATACTTAGAAGTTTCAAATTATTAGCAGGAAAAATAGTTACAGTTTTCCGTAAGACTAACAAATTATTGTGCAGTACAAAATTTTGTAGCTGGGAATTTACAATTTTGCACATCACCTACTTGGAGTACGAGTATTTTGAAGCTTGTGAGCCAGGCAAACTAACTTATGTCTGTGACTCCTTTAGCCTGTAAATCATTTCAACAGATGTCATGCATTGGTTCCCGTTGGCTGCTCAAAGCACAAACGGGCGTGCTTACTTGGTGTAAATCCACTCACACCTGTGTAAGAGCGTTGTATTTTCTGAGCTGTACCCGAGGTCTGTACCTGACCGCACGCTGTCCTTGGTGAACAAAGCCAAGACCCTCAGGAAACTGCTGACGCTACATCATGCGGCACAGACATTTGCAGTCTTGAAGTACAGAATCATTTTCACAAACCGTAGGCTGTGAACAGCGGTATGCGTAAAACCGTGCCAGGGGACAGCTTTGAATTCTCGGTGTACGAAGCGGTGCAGAAGAACGCAGATTTCTCCGACCCTGTGTAGGACCGCGGCATCTTTGGAAAGCAATACGACAGAAAGTTCAACGTCATTTGTAGACGGACGAGACGCGGCGACGTTCTTCTCCGGTTGCGGGGGTGCGCGGCGGGCGGCACGCGCCGTCACCGCGGGACCCTTCCGCACGGGGCGGATGGCGCACGCGCAGTGG